GGCACTGTAGGCCTCTCCATAACCACTCAGCTCTGCTGTTGTAGTTAGGTAATATGCAAAGAAATTGCCGTGGCACTGTTTCAATAAAGTTTTATCTATGAAAAGAGTTGACCAGATTTTGTCCACAAACCATAGGTCGTTGAAGCCCTTCTACAGTCTTGATGTGTAGCATGTCCAATGCCTCTAAAATAGTAACAAAAAAGCAATGGCCATTTGTCTTAGTTCCCTTGTTGCTGTGAGAAAATCCCCCACACCCATAAATTGAAGGAGAGGTTTATTTTGGCTCACAGTTTGTACAGGTTTCAGTCCCTACATGGTTGGCTGGCTCCAAGGCAGGGTGGCATGGCAGAGGGTCATAGTGGAGGACAGCTGAGCAGAGCTGCTCACAGCATGGTGGTAGTAAGTAGTCCAAGGAGGGAGACAAACTCTTCCAGGCCACACCCTCAGTGACCCACCTCTTCCAGCCAGGCTTGACTTCCTAACAGCAAGTCCACTATGAGCCCCCATAATCCAATCACCTTCCAAAAGCCACGCCTATGAGTGCATGAGGCTCTTGGGGGACACATATCAAACTCCTTATGTGTATATATCTAACGTGAATTTCAGAGGCAGGACATTTTGTGATATGCAGAAAAGGCATGGATTTATGTGTTCCCACTGAGAACCTTGGCTGTGAATGCTACAGATGTGAGCATGGTAGACAGAAGTGCAGAAATACTTTAGAGAAGTAGCATCAGGGACCATAACTCAGTAGAATTTAAAAAGGAAATAGAAAGGGTGTGTCAAGTGAAAATACCACATTCTTAGAAAACTGCTAATTTTATGCTGTAAGTTTATGCAACAAAACTGGTGTAAATTACTGATAGTTCTTGCATTTGTCAAACTGGATAGCTGGCTGAGTTTCACTGAGTAGCCTGAAGAAGAATTTCCCCATGGAAGTAGGCTTTTGCCCTTAATACTATCCAGGGAAAGTTTGTTCCTAGGAATATATTCCTTATCCTATAATGATTTAGGGTTATAACATAAAATATAGTGTTTGAAAATGGACTTTTTGCTTATGCTTTGCTGAGTTACAAAGCACATTTGGTTTGTTAACTGCCAACGTGGCTAGATTATATCCCTAGTGATTTGATCAAAGAGTAACCTAAGTGGTGCTGTGCAGGTACTTTGCAGATGTAGTAAATTTGTTTTGAGACCAAGTCTCACTCTATAGTTCAGTCTGGCCTCAAACTCACAGCAATCCTCCTGCCTCAGCCTCCCAAGTTCTGGGATTACAGGTGTGTACCACACAACACCTGGCTAGAGGACATCATTCTTGATGTGAGGAAACAGCATCCAATCAGTTGAAGGCCTTAAGAACAAAACCTGAGTTTCCTGTAAAAGAAATCCTGCCTCAAAACTGCAGTAGCCTCTAGTCTGCCACTTTACTTTCTGCATTTTCAGACTCAAGATTGCGGCACTGACTTGCCTGAGTTTCCAGCCTTCCAGAATGCCCTATATATAAAAATCCAGACCTGCCAGATATATTAGGTAGGGTTCTCCAGGTAGAAAAGAGAGATAGGTAGCTAGGCAGAGACAGAAATATTTACCATAGGGGATTGGTTATCTGTATTATGGAAGTTGAGAAGTCTCAGGATCTGCAGTCTGAGTTGAAGGCCCAGGAAAGCTGATGAAGTGCTTCCAGTACAACCCAAAGGCCTGCGAACCAGGGGAATAAACAGAGGAAGTTCAAGTCTGAGTCTGAAAGACCAATAACCAGGAGCACTGATGTCTGGAAGCAGAAGGTAGATATCTCTGCTCAGACAGAGCAAATTTGCCCTTCCTGTGCCTTTTTGATTTATTCAAGGCCTCAGCTAATTGGATAATGTTCACCAATTACAATTTTCTTTGTTCAGTGTACAAGTATCTTCTGAAAACACCCTCATAGACACACCAAGAAATGTTTTACCAGTAACCTGGGCATCCCTTAGCCCAGCTAAATTGACACAAAATTAATCATCACACCAACTTCTACTCATACATATCATGTATATACACACAGCCTGTTGGATCTGTTTATTTGATGAACCCTCCCAGATACAACACATTAAGTTTGAAAGAGTAAAATGCATGCATTTCTTGCAGAAAAGCAAGAAAGTATGAGTGTGCTAATTTATTCCAGGCCATGAGTCAGCTGTGCTAAGTGTATTGCTAATTTCAAGTCTGGAAATTTTAGATACCTGTTAGGAGAAATAAGCCATTATTTTGTTACAGAAAAAAAAGTTTTCATGGTTTCTCTTGAAATATTTTTATGGAGTGGGTCAACCTACAGAGCAGTGTAACCAGGTTGATAGGAGATGAATGTAGACACTAGAGACTAATGCCCAAAGTCCCTGTTATTGACATGTGAACCTGATTGAACTGAAATCACCTGATAAACCCATTTACAGTCACTAATGTTATCCACCTAGCGGATGAAGCATAATACGGAATGATTTGTTATTTCAGTTACTCTTTGCCAGAAGTTACACAAGCAACTGAAGTACAGTACTGCTATTCAGAATCCAGCATTCTTTGCAATGCTTTACATCAAAATCCAACCTTAATAAAGCCAAAACAAACAAAATAATCCACATTAAATTCTTTGGATTTAATCTGGAGTATTATAGTTAGAATATTTCACATGCTCAGCCTCTTTCTCAATCTGGGTCCAATCAGAAAAAGAGAAATTTAAGTTAAACAGAAGCTTAATATGAAGAATTAAGCTATGATAACATTATCTATAGGATGGAAGTAAAACCCATATTATATCCTAGGGTTGAGAAGCATACTCAAGGACACATTTTTTTTTCCTTAAATTCTTTTATTGGTACATTTTGGGTATACATTTACATTTATCATTGGGTGCTTGTACCTGTACATGGTGTATCTTGGTTCTTATTTTGTCCCCATTCCCTGTCCTCCCTTTATCCCCTCCACCCTTCCCTATTTATAAAGACTTTGTTTCCATTTTTTCCTTTTCTTATAATTTTTCCTTTCCCCTTCCCCTCCCCCTTTGGACCTTTTCCTCATATTTCAAATTATCAATTACTCATTTTAATCATTTTTATCCTATTTACACTTTCAGTTTCTCACACCAGAGAAACTATTTGGTACTTACACGTGTGAAGGACACATTTATTTATAAAGGGGCCCAAATCCCTAGGACGGGGGTTCAGACCTTGTGGAGAGTACAGCTGCACCCTATTGATGGCAGGGAAGTTTGCTAATTTACCTGAGCCAACATGGTCTGTGGTCACTGGGCAAACAGAAAGCCACTCTGGAGGCAGGCAGCAGGCAGTCAGGATACAGGTGAGTCTCAGCCGGTGTAGGGATGAGTGGGTACGCAGAGGGGTTGAGTTCCTGGTGGTAATCCTCCAGGACACACACAGGCAGGGCACCAGCCAATGGCTGGGAATGAGGTCAGGCAAAGGGACAAGGAGTGCTAGCGTGGCAGGAGGTCTGGGCATTAGGAGGACACTGAGTAACAACCTGGGAAAGGCACGGGGATATAGGAATTAATGCTGTCTGTGCAGGAGAGGGACCATGAGTATATGATGTCCATGTTGAGAAAGCAGCAAGAACATGATCAACAGGCCAGCATGGTGCTGTGAGGGCATCAGGGACCACACACTCTGAGTTTATGGCCAGGGACAGCATATCACCAGATATTTTCATATCTGCATTGCTAACCTGTTGCAAAGTGAAAACAGGAAGGTCCTTTCCACTTGTAACATGACTAAGATGTCCTCTACTAAGCAAGCTCGACATGCTTACTGCAAAGGAGAAGAAATGCTTAAAGAAATCATGTTCATAATCACTGAGAATGTATTGAAGAATGAACTTGAAGCTGAGGGGCAATGCACTGATGACTGGCATAGGCTACTCCCTTGGCTATTCAGCTTCCATATTCACCTTTGTACACACACACACATCTCAACTCCCTTGCCACAAAACAACTCTACATTTCTCCCTAATACATCAACCATTCTTCTTAAAAAGTTTTCTTCCCCCAGTGAAATGATTCAGATTCTTAAGTCTTTCCAATCATCATGGGTGGGCCCTATTGAGTCTAGCTCCTATTTAATATGCTGTTACCTAAAGACAAGTAAAGTTAACCTCCAATAAACTTGTGAATAAAATTAAAAATAGGAACCAGGGTAGTAAAAAGTAGAAAAGCGAGAATAAAAAAATAAATGCATACATATAATAAACAGAAATATACAAAGCAACCAGCCTTTGTGTATTGACTGAGATCTGAGTTCTGCAATTACCAATTATAATTTTTCCTCAACCTTCACTAAAAATCTTAGAATCTTTTAGTTCTTACCAGGTATACTGACCCAAATTTTGGTCCCTCATTGATTTGAGTCCTGAACCATTCTGCTCTGTTGGTGGTGATAGTGGCAGTTTTCCATGAACTTCCATCAGGCAGATGTAGTGGGCAGAATGCCACAACCCAATCCTTGGAAACTGTAAATACGTTATGTCACAGGACAAATGAGAATCAAGGTTGCTAACTTTAAAACAGAGTGATATCCTGGACTACCTGTATGGACCCAGTCTAATGACACTGTTCATTAAAAGTGGAAGAGGGAGAACCAGATAAGGCAGTGCAAGGACTCAGGCCAACATTTCTGACCTTGAAGATGAAGGGATGAGGCCAAGAGTCAACGCATGTGGGCAGCTTCTAGAAGCTGAAAAAGGTACACAGATTTTGTGCTCAGCGCATCCAGAAGGACAGCAGCCCTGTTACCTTGGTTTTAGCCTGGTGACACCCAACTTAGACTCTTGATATCCCAAACTGTGAGATAACAAAACTGTGCTGTTTTAAGCTACTAAATTTGTTACAGAAGCAACAGAAAGCAAATATACTGAGTATGACATTTTTTATCTGCATGCATTACCTGAAATCTGATCCTTAGAGAACCAATTTAATCCCTAATACTTAACAACCAGGGAGTCACTGAAGAATTCTGTCTTTTATTTAAAGTAACAATGTTAACATATAGGTAGTATACATCCATTCATGTTTACTCAGAATTTCTTTTCACAGGGAAATGATGGATTCCAACCAAGATCCTTTGTCATGGATATCCATACAATCTTCTTCACTTTTCAATGCTCTCTGCATTTGGAAGTGCTACAAGGGTAAGAACATGTCTAGGATGCAAACTTCATACCCACCCCACCCCCAAAAAAAAGAAAAAGAAAAAGAAAAAAAAAACTCTGAACTTCAGACAATTCTATCTTTGAATTTCTTTCGAAAAAGCTTTTACTAAAACTCCTATTCTAAGGCCTATGTAACTGAGCTCAGAATTAACTGTCCTAAAGAAGTCAAAAGCTTGGAATTCAAAAGCCAAATTGTTACTCTCCAGCTGCTAAAGTCCTTCAGAAGTGGAAGCATCTCTGGAAAAGCTGTGTCTAGAACAACTTCTAGGAGACTAAGTCAACTAGAAGACTCCCACCTATATGCTTCACCAATTTTTAGGTCCCATTCAGACCTCCTTCTAACATACACTGTATTCTGAACAATAGAATCCTCAATCTTTATAATGTTTTTTTTTCTTACTTTAGAGAGCATTATCTAACTTTCCTACACTACTAAATTCTAATTCACCTCTTTAAAGATCCCTAGGGTTAAGAACATCATCAATACGGCCGGGGATTTAGCTCAGTGGTTCTACTGCCTGCCTCAAAAGTGCAAGGTCCTAAGTTCAATCTGATCCCCGGTACCAAAAAAAAAAACAAACATCAAGAACATAGTTAATAAATTCTTGGATTAATGTAGCTGTACTAATAACACACACCATATCCAGGGGGAAACTCATGTTGGTAAAGGTGGGATTAAAAACCAATCCCTTGGGCTGGGGATTTAGCTCAGTGGTTTTGCCGCCTGCTGTGCAAGTGCAAGGACCTGAGTTCGATCCCCGGTACGGAAAAAAAAACAAAAAACAAAACAAAACAAAAAAAACCAATCCCTCTGTGTAATTTAAGAAGGATACAGTACAAGTCATTTGTTCCCAACAAAGATACAAGGCACTACAGACTCACTGCCTCAAAGGCAAGAAAAAGCATTACAGAAATAGCATATGGTTGGTATCAGAACTATTAAACCTCTGGATTACATGGAGTGCTTACAGAATATAACCACCATGAAAATCATGTGGCTTTCCTCACAAACAGGTCATTTTCATACAGAGTTTGTCATGTGGTATCAAAACAGTAACAGGTAAAACTTTTAAATCCTAAAAGTCCACTTTTAAGCACAGTGTTTATTTACTGAAAGAACAAAGCTAACATACTATAAGACACAAAGGTGTAAAAGAAATCTGAAATTAGTCTTCTAACATTGAATGGAGAAGATTGTTCAAGGTTTTATAGGTAAGTCCAGGTAAACAAAGTTACTTCTAGGCAATGCAAGCATCCCTCCGAGTAGACCAAAATGGCGAAATGGGCTCCTATCACAGAGGGCCAACAGCTTGCTAGCACACACAGGAAAATGAGGCAAACCAACTTCTCCTCCTTTATGATCCAAGTCTGTGGCAGATACCTCTGTTTGCACACTGAGGAAGAGAAGAGAGAGGTTCACCAGGCAATATGAAGACTAGACGTGGTGTTCAGTATCATTTAAGTAACAGGAAGATTCAGAAGTTATCAGCCTCCTTTAATGATTTTTTTTTTCCGCCAGGATCCCAGTAACTATTTTTCTACCAAAGTACTGGGTATGATCACCACGAGTATGACTTTTCTAGGCTTTCTTTTAGTAAGTTCACAAAAAAAGGTATATCTGAAAATGAAACCAAAAATGCAGTCAAAACCTTTTATAAAACAAGAAACTCAAATGTGTAACACTAAAATACATCAAGAAGCTCTACAAACTATAGTAGTCCTTACACTTTAACAAGCACCAGAATCTCTATCAGATTGCTGCTCTTGCAGCTCTCTGCCTTGAGTTTCTGGATCAGTAGGTCTGCAGTGGAACTCAAAGTGCTGCGTTTCTAATTAGGTCTCCTTTGCTTCTGATGCTGATGCGGAAGGGCACACTTTTCAAAGCACTGCCCTGGAACATGAAAAGCACATCTGCCTTGAGGGAGAGAAGAATGTTCATCAGCCAGTGCTGTGGGATTGAGATGGGTGTCAGGGTTAGAAAGGTGATTTTTTTCCCCCAAGAGCCTTTGTTTGAACTTTGGTCTTAGACTAATCTCTTTATCTCCAGAAAGAGTTTGGAGTTCTCTTTCCAAGGAGGAAGTGGTAGTGAGTGAGACAATGAGAGAGATCTGAGCATGGAGGTGTCTGTTCCTCCTAAGAGCGCTTCCTTGCCTTGGTGCTGCGAGACTTAGGCTCACACTTAAACTGAGACTGGGAGGTCTTTATCCTTAGCAGCAGCTCTTCAAAGATCTCATTATGCATGTAAAAGAAGATGTACCCTGTACAAAGCCTGGCCTTCTGCACCAGGGACTCTGAGATACGTGATACCAGTAGATCATTGTAAGTGAACCAGACCTGCTTCTTAAAGTCGTAGACATCACTGATATAATGTCCTGAATTATGGCTATTTCCAAGATGACTTATAATACCAATGAGCCTATAAGTATGAGGACCTTTCCCATCAGCCTTTTTTCCTGGTTTCTGGGTTCTTGATTCTGTCTTCTTAACTAAAATATCTTTGTTTCCAGGGTTAGCCTTCTGTGGATTTAATTCTTTACATCCTCTAAGGTTCATTCTGTGCTCCTGGGCATCTGGCATTGGAAAGCCTTCAGGAAGTATCTGTTGCAGGTCTCCTTTATGGATTTCCATCCCATCAGGGTGATCAATTGGTTCAGCCACTGTCTGGGATCTTTCTGAAACTCTGGCTTTCTTATTTTTGGAAAAGTCTTCAGTGGTCTGACTGACACTATCAAAATCTGATTCTGCAAATCTATTGCTTTTCTTAGACTTCTTTAGTTTTGGATGTTCAGGCACTCCTGGAAATTGAGCTTCTGTGTCTGGTCTTCTAGCGGGTTTATCTGCATATCTGTAGGACAGTGGAAGGGAAGTATCTTCCAGATTCATCACTGAGATGGCTAATTGCTTTTTTTCAACTGATGCCCCATCTCCTAAGCATGTTGATTCTGACTCTCTCATACAAGGTTTTCCCTGGTCTTTCTGCTGTTGTGCTCTTCTTTTCCCTTTAAGGAAGTGTTGGGATTTTTGTGGTTCAGGCTTCTTGCCTGCTTTAACGCGTTTTGCTACAGAATTCTTGGACTTTGACTTCACTGAAGATAATGAGCAAATTACTGTTAAACTTAGCTTTTGAAAAAGTTTTAGTAATTGTAAATCTCTAATGTGTGCATTCTTGCTAAGGGGAACAGGTGGCTTGGTGTCCTCCTTGCAATGAGAAGACAAATCTAAATATTTGTTAACAGTGACTGCCTGATCATCCTTCCTTAGTGACAAAAACTCATTAAAGCAATAGCGTTTCAGGTGAATAATAAGAACCCTAGGTAGCCTGCTGAACTTGTGTACTACCACAGATCTCTTGTGCTTGCAGTTCTCACACTTATACTCGAGCTCTTCTGTTGCAAAGAAATGATCAAAAGTAGACTGAATAGACAAAGGACGTCTTCTCATTCCTTGCAGAAGGTTGATGGAGAGATAATTACTCGGTTCTGTCTTGTAAATAGCCTGACCACAAGCTTTACAAAAAATAGAGTGCAGCAACTCACACTCGAAATTAGTCATGACAGGACAATCAGGCACTCCGGCAGCAGAATCACCAGCAAAAACCTGCTGAGGTGAATTTTCTTCCTGAAATTCATTTTCAGAATCCAAAACTACATTTGGTTTCTGTAAGGCCTCCTTCATCTGACCTAAGCAGTAGCTTAAAAATTCATGTGCATCATTCTGAGCGTCCATAGGGAATATCTCTGCAACTACTGAAATGGCTTTTATAATAGTCACAAGTAACTTCTCCTTGATCCTCATGTTAAAAATATCTTTCATAGTAAGCAGTAGTGCCACGCACAGGGAAAAAATGTCATGGGAAATTCTTCCCCATGGGAAACCCTGATTGAGCACATCATTAACAAACAATGGAATTGAACACAGGGACTGTAAAACTGCATTAATGTAACAGGTGTTTCCCAAATTGGGGAGACCTTGCCATACTGTCTGTTGGTAAACTCTACGGGGCAACCCAAGCTTTGAGCCACCCTCACTACACTTTAGTGCCAGCTGAAACTGTCGAAGTGTGCTCTTAGTGAGAAACTGGAGGTCAGTGTCATCTACAGAAGGCTTTTCAAGATAGTTGGCCTTTAATAAAGATGCCAATTTTTCGTTGCTTTTAAACTTTCTGGGCTTTATTTGTTTCTTCCAAGTGTAGCTTTTATACTTCAAGGGATTTGCATTGGATTTCTCTCTTACGATGTTCTTTTTTATCGGGGATTTCTCATTTTCATTCACCTCTGAATCCGAGGGTAACATTCTTTTCTTCTTCCTTTGTTGATTTTCTAACTCTTCATTAGTAAGTGTTGATGATTTGGATGTAGCCAAAGGTTTCTTCCTATGAGCAGATCTTTTGCGGTTTTTGTCTGTCCCTGAGCACCCCTCGCCTGATTCCTCACGAACTTTGGGCAATGAAGTTTTCCTGGTCTGTGTTCCTGTGCAGGTAGACGGCCCCTCTCCCTTATCAGGGCTCATGTGTGGTTCAGGGCAGTTCTGATGGACGCTGTCCAAGAATGCCTTCAGTTGTTTAGCTTCTGTGGAGGATAATTTTTCAACAAACAAGAAGCCATCATTTTGGAAAGTCACATGTAGGCTACTGAGGTTTGCTCCATAGGATTGAAGGATCACACTTTTAATATTATTATTTAGCTTTAAAGTTTTAACTCTTCCAGTCCTCAGGTAGATCAGGAGTTTAAAGTTCTTCCTTCCTTTCACTGCTTCAATGAATACTCCTTGTGGCTCGGACATCCCTGTCCTCTTGTTCCATATCTGGGCATAACCATGTACCATTATGGAGCTCATGCTTTCTTTACAAATGTACGAATCTTAGAAATGCAGACAATCTTGCAGCTTCAGTTTGTTTCCAAAATTCACCTAAGACAACACCAAAGAAATGGTTCTTTAGTTCTCTATACAGAATAATCCTATAAGTAGTATTGGTTTTATACTAAAAATTTCTTCAAATTCTGGACATCTAGCCCTTTATAGATTAAACCACTGCCTTTTAGAGCCATCTGTGATTGTATAAAGGCAGAGTGTTGATACTCAAGGCAAGACTACTATGAAAAAAATCAAGAAAAGTTCTTTAAACTCGTAGAAAAATGCTTGGATAAAACTCAAACTCAATTCCTATACATTAAATCTCCTTTCCATCACAATATTTAATTCCATTCTGATTAACTTCCTTACTTCAATTAAAATCATTAAACACTTACAAGACTTTCAATACTAGCTGAAAAGCATACTCAACAGTGTGTCAAGTGTGTACGTATAGAATGTGACCTTCCTGTCACAGAATGGCCTCACAAGGAACCATAGTAAATGAATAAGAAAGTAGAAGCATTATATGGACCGAATGTAATAACAAGTGAACATTCTTCCTATGTCTAGAAGACTTCGTACATGGGCTACTCAAAGTAAATCAGTCTACTTCCTTGCAAATCCAGTTATGTTAACATTCTTTCACTTTTCACGGAGGAATCTCTATGCATTTTATCGCTCAATGACAAAAGTTTAAGAAAACAACTTCTTGCCAATCAGAAAACAAGCCACAAAGTTTTCCACAGTCCACTTAGCTTTAACGAGCTCCCTGTACTCAAAACCATCAGTGAGGTTTGGGGTCATGCTTAGTGGTGGGTAATGTGTTTAGCTTATGTGAGGCCCTAGGTTCAATCTCCAGTAACAAAACAAAAATAAATAAACAAACTTTACATAAGAGCCTTGGTGGGGAGGATGGTTAAACGTAATTACTGAAAATTAGAAATTTCTGAATAACTGAGGCCAATCTGAGTTAACGAAAGCAGTTTGCACCACAGATGTTTGTATGAGAAAGTATATGGAAGTTGTATTTCCTCCTACTTAAATATTCTTTCTGAATCTTGTCCCTGGTATTAACTTAGTAAGAAAAATCTACCCCTATGGGTAATACAAAAGGAAACTAGTGCTCAATCCATGTTCAAATGACCAAAAATTCAACATTGGTAGAGCACAAATTAACGAGATTTTTGCTTAAAGTATATATAAATCTATCAACCTATGTTCAGTGAAGTAGGGATTACACCCAACAATGTAGAAAAGTGCATATGCATCCAAAAGAGAGAACATATATTTATTACGGTGGAAATGGGGCCATAAAAATATTCAAGCACAGCAGCAAATTTAAGTTTTCTGGATTATAGTTCACTGTTCTACTGTGCATGCTAAGTAAGGATTCAAACTATTTTCTCTCCACAAAAACAAAGTCTTAATTGTTCCTTTTTAATAGTTTTAATTCCCTGAGAGAACCTGCAACCCGACTTCAAATCTGCATTCAGAAATTTTGAAACCCCAGATCGTCTGCATTTATCAAAAACGTCTTGGGCTGGGGATTTAGCTCAGTGGTGCAAACTGCCTGTCTCACAAGTGCGAGGTCCTGAATTCAATCCCTGGTACAAAAAAAACTGTCGTCTCTTATTGTGATACGGAAATAGCAAGGTCCTTCTGGCATTTCCTCTGCTTTCAGAAACACAGTTAAGACACATGTGTTTAGAAAATAATGACTACATTCTATCATTCCTTCCTCATAGTCCGACCTACTTACATTTCTCTCCAGAATAAAGGAGACTTTGAGCCCACTGAGCATGCAAACTGAAGATTAAGAAACGTCTTGCTGATGGTACAGCTGAGCAGTCTAACTACTGCCCAATTCCTTAGCATATCTTAAGCTTAAATCCCTTTCTAGTCACTCAAGGCTTTCAAAGTATCCCTTAACTGGTCATTTGTGCAAGATTTTAAGTTAGCACATATTAGTTCTCCAAGACTCTACTGAAGAGCCACTATGTGACTACTGTATGCAGGTTAATGTCCACTTCAGTATAGCAACATTCCTGCTCCCTTTACACTCCCAAATGAGACTTAAAACATACAGATGATAATTATATTCAAAATTTCTGATAGCCAACTTGCTTTTCTCTTATTTTCCCTACAAACTCAATGAATTAGATTTGATTGATCACTACTAGTGCAATATACTGGGCTAGCTGCTGATCTGAAAGCATAGCCAGACACTCTCAAAACTACTTCTGTCAGATTTAGAGGCACATCCCAAGAAGCTGGCTATAGGGTTAAAACCTCAGAAGAAATGCCTGCATTGTTGTTAATTTACTAATTCACTCTACATTGGTCTACCTGGTCAGGTCACTGAGATATTTGTTGCTCAGCACCTGCTCTGTATTACGTACCATGATTTACTGAACATCCACTCAACCAGCTCTCTTAGGAACACAAATGATGTGAGTATTAATTGTACTTAAATGATTTAAACTCTAAACCATTACTGCGCGTCACAAGCAAAGAGGGGTTTCCTTCCAGTGGGGACAAAGAATCTACGAAAATATCCTTTCACTGCCATTCTCTGGGCCTTGAAACATACCCGGGGTGGGAGTAGTGTTTGGTAAAAGAGAGATCTGCAGTGAGATTTCTGGAACATTGCCTCAACTCCCCACAATGCCTGGCTTAGCTTCGTTCTTTAAAAAGAAATGTGCCTTTGTGTAGAATGTCTGCAAGCCAAAAAACCCCAAGTTCCCAGTTATTTATTTCAAATTAAGATAATTCTAATAAGGAATTGTGTGGCTTTGGACTATTTACCCTCTGTACCCTACATCTGTATCTTCCACTATTCATCCTTTCATTATTTCAAGTGCAAGAAAAACGTGAAAACAAATGACTATACATCTTTCAAATCTGAATATGCATTTCTCAACTCCAAAGAGTTCATTACAAGAATAATAAAAGGAAGAAAAACAGATGAAAATTATTTTCTTTCAAGCATTTTGGTTAAAGACAAATAATCATTTGTTTTGGATACATTACAATGAGGCAGATGAATAAAGTCTAGAAGATCCTTTAGGCTCTACGACTATGAGAAAGTAGTACTTCTGGGTCAGTTCTCCAGTAACATATAACTACTGTACATATGTGTTTATCTCACTTAGTAGTTAAAGGTCAATGTATAGAAGATGGTGTGGTAAAGAGGGTGAATTTTAATTATCGTTTTCTTTCACAACTTCCTGAAGACATGTATGGTAAGAAAACAAAGACATGGTTAGCATGTAGTAAGAAATCTTGCTTGGTAGGAAAATGGACAGAACTGGAGATCATCACTTTAAATGAAATAAGCCAGACTCAGAAAGACAAATAAGGTATGTTTTCTCAAATATGTGGAATCTAAAAGAGATGACATGAAAGTGGAAGAGAGATTATTACTAGGGAAGAATAAGAGAACAAGGGGGGTGTAATACAGGGTATGGGGGATGGATATCATCAAAATATATCTTGTGCATATATGAAAACATCACATTGAAACTCAATATTTTATAAAATAAATGGACATTATATACATATATTGCATATGTTTAGTTACCTAAGCAAGCCTTACTGGAGAGGATGAGGAAGGTTTCCCACAAGGTGGGGCGCTGGCCCATATATGTAGTGCATGGAAGAGAGGGCAAGGTAATTACCACAAAGGGTTACAGTAACTTCTGTCCCTCTCTAATAAATCCGGGCAAGAGTCTTGAAAAACAAAACATCTTCAACTCACAATTACATTAAGCTCTATATATGTTAGTGAACATAGGACAGGTTAATTCCACTATGGGCCCCATTGAGCTAACTGAAAAGTTATCATCAAAGCTTCCTTTCAGAACTCCGTCCTATGAAACTGATTCTAGGTACAATATACTTTCCCAAGACAGTCCAGATAAAAGACTTTCTCCATCCAACAGTTTTCTCCAACAACTGAATGATGAGGACCATATCTTAGCCAGTGTCACACACAAAAATATGTAAGGATGGACAGGTAAGTATGTGAGGTTTGGTAAATGGAAAAGTGCCTTCTCAAAAGCCAACAGGCATTCATTCGTTAAATACATACGTACTGAACACTTCAAAGCACTGTATATCAAGCTGTAGGTACAGAATAAAAAAGAAACACAAAATCCAGGCTGTCTTATCTTTCATTCTAGCAGGGGGATGGAAAATATATCTATCTAAACTAGAGTATATAGAATATGATATGGAGACAACTGCTAAAAAAAGAATTAAAACAGTTGGAACAGAGTGTGCCAGGGGTGATGGGGAGGTCTTAGTAATGACATTACAGCAGGACCTTGAATGAAGTGAGGCAGCTAACAGTTAGATGTAGGGTGCTGCAGGCAGGAGGAAGAGTAAACAAAAGGGCCTTCAGGTAGGAATGTGCTTGATGTGTTAGAAACAGGAATCAGGCCAGTGTATCTGAAAAACAGTGAAGACATTTTAAGAGAAAGAAGATGAGAAAGTTTTGTAAAAGAGCAGGAGAATGAATTGCCTAGTAACCTTGCTGAGTGGCATCAAGCACTAAGGGCTGAGTTAGGTTCGTGGTCATGAATTTATGGGGAGACCATAATCAGCACATTTTGTTTCTCTCCAGCTGCATTCAGCTGCCCAGTTGCCATGGTGCAGGTGTGCAATAGGAAAGTCTTGAATTTAACTTGCTGAAGATTTTGCCATTCATAAGTAGCCAAGTATGAAGAAATTGGGAGCTGGAGGGATAAGGAAGGGAATGATTATAAATATGGAGCTAGAAAGGATGAAATGGGGACAGAGGACAGAAACATGTGAAAAAGCTTCGTGACATATTTAGGGGGTGAGATAGAAGCATCAGGGGACCAGGAGCTCAGCTCTCATTTCAGTAGCTGTAATTCTGTCCCCTGCTTCTAAGCAGCTGTCAACTGTTTGCAGACTTCCTTCTTCTATTCTCCTCCCATCTTCCATTCTATTTTTCTATTCATTCTTACCCTGGCTCCCAAGCTGGAAATAAATAATAGGAACGGGGTGGGGCCGGGAGTTGAATGTTAGGA